CAGACACTTGCGAGCTATCTCTCCCCATCCTGAAGGCCCCGAAGCTTCCCACCAGGCCCGTTAGGCTTACATCGAGTCTGGTTGGGAAAGCTTATACGGCGGCGGCTGACCTGCTCAGGGGTGGGGCTGCTGAGCGGGAGCAGCCCAAGCCGTCAAGCTCCTCATATCGCCAGTCTCAAAAACAGAGCGTTGCAACCCGCACCCCTCCACAGAAAGATCGTGGGTCATGGCGACGCTCTCAGTCGGGGTCTTCTAGACCGAAAACGGATTTGCGGACCATTATTTTGTCTAAGAGGACCTCTGCTAAACGGTCCTACCATTGTCAGGTCCCTGAGGGCAGCCCTTACCTGGGGAGGAAAGGATAACACCTCAGTATACGGTGCCCAATCCTTCTCAGTGCCCTCACGGAGGTTCATTGATACCCCTGCCACCCTCGGTGCCTCAGGACTCAGTGAGCTCCGACGAGCGAAAATCACAGCTGCCGCCCCAGCAACGGTACGGCACGGGAGAGCTCGCCCCCTCAAGTGAAGAGGCTGCAGCAGTCAGGTCGGTTGTTCCCTGCCGGTCATCCGCTTCAGGGCACCGAACTGGCTCTTCTAATAAAACCAGAGGCCAGCCTCGAGAGGCTGGTTCCCTTAGTAGATTTTCTGGCAGCGTGTGAACTTCTGCCAAATATATCAAAATGGGTCCTGCAGGTTGTAGAGAAAGGCTACAGAATCCAGTTCGGTTCTCGTCCTCCTCATTTCAACGGGGTCATTCCCACACTAGTGGGCCCCGAGCAGGCTCTGGTAATGGAACAAGAAGTAGATACTCTCTTGAGGAAGGGGGCCATAGAACATGTTCCTCCTCTTGAGAGAGTGTCCGGGTTTTACAGTCGTTACTTCATTGTTCCAAAGAAGGATTGCGTCCGATTTTAGATCTCCGTCTTCTGAACCGCGCTATCAAACTGCTTCGGTTCAGGATGCTCACTATCAAGCAGATAATATCTCAAATTCAGTCCGAAGACTGGTTTGTTACGATAGATCTCAAAGATGCTTATTTCCATGTTTCCATCCTTCCTCAACACTGGAAGTTCCTGAGGTTTGCTTTCGGGGGCGAAGCATACCAAAATCGAGTTCCTCCCTTTGGCCTGTTACTCTCACCCCGCACTTTCACAAAGTGTGTGGATGCAGCTCTGGCTCCACTGCGACTCCAGGGCATCCGCATACTCAATTATATCGACGATTGGTTAACACTAGCTCAATCGGAGCAGATGGCGGCTCGGCATCGAGATGTCGTCCTCGCCCATATGAGAGAGCTGGGGTTAAGACTAAACGCCAAGAAGAGTGTACTTTCTCCACTACAGAGAACCACTTATTTGAGACTTCATCTGTACGCTTTTCCCCCGATCGCTCTGCTCCCGGGAGTTCTGGAGGGAGTACACTGGGATGGGGTCCGTCTGTTGCTAGTAGCCCCGTTCTGGCCAGCCCGAGTATGGTTCTCGGACTTGGTGTCCCTCCTCGACGGCTCTCCGCTGGTGATTCCGATCAGGAGGGGCCTCCTCTCTCAGGCAGGGGGCACCTTTCTTCACCCCCGCCCGGAGTTATGGAAGTTGTGGACATGGCCCCTGAGGGGGCACAGCTCCTAGCATCTGGTCTCTCAACTGAGGTTGTTGAGACTATACTCCAGTCCAGAGCTCCCGG